GATGGGTGGCACACTAGTTACATTTACTTGACTAACTTTTTGAAAAACAATGTTTGAAGTCTTCTTGAGTACTACTTCATTAACATGCTTCTTACTACAGTACATTTTCTGACAAACCAACCCACCTCGAGTTGTTTCATAGAATGACCAATAGGTAGTAAACAGGCTTTATTGTTTGAATGCTATTTCTGTTTGGTTGGTATGTTGTGTCTTTTAAAGATCAAGTTCAGACAGTACATATTGTCACTGAAAGTATGTTGCACTCTTCTTGCATGTATGCTTTACCTTCTGTAGTTGTTTCAAAGGTTTTATGTTGTGCCCGGAAATGTTATTTTGTAATGTCATGATTTATCTTTACATATTTTTCATTTTATTTTGAGTACCAGAAGCTGGACATAATTTTATATTTTGTCTGAGGATTACATAATTTTGACAAATTAAATCAGATTAAAACAGTATTACTGAAGTACTCATAATAATACTTTTATTACTCTTGAGTATTTTCTTTTTTTTTTTTTTGATCACTACTCTTTATTTCCACATGAAATAACATACATTGAAGTAATGCAATGCGTGCTTGAGTTAATATTGCAGCTACTTTTCCCACCTATGACAACATTCTTACTCTTAAAATATGAAATGAAGTATTTGTTTGGGCTTTTCACACTATGTTTTCCTGAAAAGTTCATCCATGAAATAATTGCAAAGCCTGGATTTTGTTTGGTATTGAGGATGGTTCCTGTGAAATATTAGATGGAAAACTGTAGCACGGTTTAATTGAACTGTTCTTAATCAATACATATTTGGAAAATGCTATGCATAGATGTAACAATGTCAAAGCTGTGCTAGTATAATAATTAGTTTAGAATGTTTGAACTGTCTAATGAAATATGTGCAGCAATCACTTATTTAAACAACTGTTTTCTGCACACATATATCGACATATATACATATATATATATCAAATTATAGTGATTTAAAGCGGACTAAACATAAAGCACATTTAATGTAAAAATGTGTCAATTAGACTGCTACTTTTGATGAAATACTAAAACACTATATAATAGCGACCAGAATGCCACTTACTACATTTCAAGTTGCTAGAGTCTGTTATCAGTTATAATATATTTCACAATTCCTCTCAAAAATGTGAAAGGTTGATTAATGCTGTTCCAGAGGCTTGACCTCACCTTTGTTGAGCTGCTCTGGGTCTGTGGCAAACAGACCTACCATTAAAAGCCCTTTGGTGGTGTGCTGATAAAAGGTCACCCATGTTAGACTGCCAGCAGGTGTAATTTGCAGCTTTTATTGTGCCTTAAAATGAGACATCCATCTCAAGAGGAAATAAGCCTCTAATTGGGCAAAATGTCATTAGCATTTGTTTGACAGTTACAAAACACTGCAGTCTGATTGGGTTAGAGTGGAATCATTGAGCTGCTAACGAAGCCTGTGGCTGCTTTCTTAGCTCGGTCAAAATTAAGCATTGTTTGTTTTTTGTTTTTTTTTTCATGCTCAATATTTGGAGGGGCACTTTTTATATTTATTTTATACATCATGCACAACATTTAACATATCTTTCACTTTGGTGTCTGTCTGTTGGTGTAACACCTCAGAATGAGAGAGATAGAGGTAAGACAAGTTGTTCTTGTTGTACCCTCACTTGAACAAATCCTTAAGGCCTTTGCACTGCCGACTGAGTTTTAAAGACAGTTTCTGTGGGAAAAAAATGCAGCGGCTCTTAAGTAGCTCCCAAGATGTTAACAGCACAATTAAACAAAGCTCTGCTAATCTTTATAGCTGGCATCAAGAGGCGGCGTGTTCTCTCTGAGCAGTGTTCTACGTAACATGGCGCTGGGAGTCTGACAGAGGAGGTAATGTGCCTGATGAGCAGCCATAGTGATGCCTGCACTACTTAAACAAAAAAAAAAAAAAAAGCAATCCTACTATACGTCCTAAAGAGCGAGGAGGAAAAACGGGAATTAATTAGCATTATTCAATTATTCACGCTCCATTTATTTGCAGCAGCATTTAAAAAAATGTAAAGTGACCCCCGATTTTCTGGTAATGAATTTGATTATGCCAGCGCATATAATTTCATGGTATTTGGGGACGTGAGATGTTTTAGCTAATATACTTTCCTGTGTGAGATGCTGTAAAGTCATGCAGCATGATGCATCCTAAATGTGCTTCTTTGTTTAAAGAGTTGTTTACAGGGATTTCATTTTTTTTTTCTCTCTCTCCGTCATTTGGAAGAGATCCAAGCTGAATTTTGTTGCAGTTTCAAAACAAGAATTCATATTTCAGGCATTCAAAACTTCAGCAGTGAAGTCTTTCCAACGATTGTCAAACTTTCACATTATATTTCAAGAAAGCTGATGGATGAAATTAAACAACCTGCTGATGTGGCCTTTTGCTGAAAAAAAAAGAAAACAAAACTTGACATGAGATATTTTTAAAGAGGGTTAGAGTGATGCTATCTTATATCTATTAATGCAGTCATTGCTGTGTTACCCGCAGGCCATAGGGCCTAATCCAGAGGAGATGGATTGAATGGTACTGTGGCTCAGGCTTGCCAGACTTACTTAGGTTCTGGTTGAGAGCACAATGCTGTGTGGGCGAATCTATTCTGTCCCGGGTAGGGCACAGCATAAACATTGCCCAGGGAACACAGGCAGGCATGCAGGCACTCAAGTGGACAAGAGCAAAACTATAAGGATGGTTGCTTTTAATTTCCTTTCTGCTGCCTTTCTGTAGCACTCCTTTCATGGGTGCTACTTCCTCTCAGAGCGTGCCAGAGAGGAAGTAGAGAACATAGTGTGCTGGTGTTAAAGAAGTACCTGTATTTTCTCGTTGTTTTTTTTTTTTTTTTTTTTTTTTTTAACGAGTTCATCAAGTATTTACTGTTATCCTCCTTCTTCCTCACACTTACTCAGACTGAGGGAAATCTGCCATGATTAATCCAGATAACAGCTGTGGAGCAACAACTCGCTTACGCCGTAACTGTCTTTAAGTAATCTGACTTTTCTCCATGGCACGGTGGTGCCCTCACTCCTGACCCTGCGTGCAAACCACTGCTTCCTCAGCCCTTTTGCCTTCCCACCGTCGTCCCCCGGCTTTCACAACCAAATAAGGAAGATTGAGCCAGGAAGAGGCAGCAAGTCGGTCAGTCAGCCCACTGAAGAGGCCATTAGGGAGCCAGCAAGCCAGTGAAGAGGTTGGTAGAAAACCACCTCTGGCATCACTCATCACTCCATCCCTCTTCAGGTTTTTATGCATTTTCTTTGCAACACTGAGATGCGCATGCTTGCTTAAAGATGGACATGCATACAGCGCTAACCTAGATTAACGCTATTCACATAGAGGATACTGAATACAATGACATGCACTGAATGTAGTTTGGATGCACACAATTTTAGAAGCACTCCGAAATGCGCTCTGAAATAAATCACTCTGCACATATACAGAGGAATATGTGCGGAACAACTTCTCAAAAGGATGACGTAAAGAAGATGAAAACTGCTAACTGTCGCATCATAAAGGTTAAACACTAAATAGTTATTTTAAGGTCACTGTACAGGAAAGACTTGTATGAGCCACACTGTCACACATACTTTTCAGAGAGAGAAAAAAAAATTGTACATGCTGCATAGATTTTTTTGAGAGAGCAAAGCTTTTTTTTTTTTCTTTTCTTTTAATAGTTAATACCAGAGTTGTTGGTTTTTGCTTTTTTCTTGATTTCAGACTTCAGACTTGGTTAAATCACACAAGGTCTAAGGAGGAAAATCCAGGATACAAAGCTTCTTGAAAAAAATCTTTGCCTAATTGTGAGACATGAAGAGAGAAGAACAGATGAATAAATAACCAAGAAGAACCAAGATGAATTTGTATTCAGGTCTCTATGAGTCAATCCTTCGTAGAACCAGGAATCAATTTCTTTGAGTATGTTTGTGACAGGCTTGGGTAGTGATTTTTTCTTTTTTTTTTCTTTTTGTTAATTCTTTGCAAAACTGCTTAAACTCACTCGTCTTGGATGGAAAGTGTCAAAGAACATTGATTTTCAACTCTCGCTACAGATTCTCAACTGGATTTCAGTCTGTATTTTGACTGCTTCTGCAGGATGTTGACCAGTGTTAGTGCAGAGCACCACACAGTGCTCTGCATGTAGGCCAGAACGTTCTGTTTTGGTCCCATCTAACCAGATAACACATGCCTCCTACATGACTTGTGTCAACCTGCAAAGGGATTTTTTGTAGCTCTTCCTTTTGGCACTCTTCTAACAAATGATATCAGAATAAAGTCGGGATAAAACCCTCAACTCTCTTTATTTTTATTTACTAAATAATATTAAAACAGTGCACCATTTTATTCACAACTACTGTACATGGCATTCTGTGTTGGTGTATAAAATGAGATAAAATTGATAAAATACCCCAAAGTAATAACGTGACAAAATGTGAAGAGATTAAAGCCCTGTAATTCCTATTGTTCCACAAAGAGCATTTACTCATGCAGCAAACTCCACACTGAGCTCTGACATGCTTAATTGATTTTCCATATGTTAGAAAAATCCATTCAAAATCTATAAACAGTAGTGCACAGGATAGAAGCGACACAAGCTAAGACTCAGTCAGTATTGCAAAAACACTCACTCTTACCGTGTGCCAGCATCTCAGTTTGTATCTTTGTCGAACTGAGACTAAAGTTAAATAATCCTATTGGTTTATTTAACTTTAGTGTTTTCTCCTCTTGCAAATGCGAGCTGAGTTCAGTGAAGCTGGAGGGAAAATCACTCCCTGATACTGAGGGTGAGCAGGTTAAAAACACACACACACACATTTGGGCTGCAAAAGAAGACAGAAAATACCTTGGGTTTGCAACAGAAACAGTATTCTGGATTAAAATGTAACTTTGGTATAGAAGCCCGAGTTGTTCAGGTTGGACAAGCCTCCTTGTCATCACACTAATCTTTACTATTTAAAAACAGAATGATTAAATTCTATGTGATAGGTTTTTATTAGAAATTTTGTAAGTGCAACCACATGAAATAAAGCTTTCTTTGTGTCCTTCTACATTGCTAAAAAAAAAAAAAAAAAAAAAAAGCAGAGTGAGCAGACAGAGTCATCCCCTATCAGCAGGTTGTATTCACCACATTCCCTTACCAAATCCTCCTCCTGCACCCAACAAGCTCCTATCTCCATTCTCAAACTCCTGTCTGTTGTAGTGCTCACTTGTGTATCAAGGTAATGAATTCATAATCTCTCCCAGGCTCTTTGTAGATCTCTATCGTGGTGCAAGATAAGGGTAAGCGTCGTTGCACTCTAATAGCCGTCAGTCTTCCTCGCTTCCTGCATGGTGTGAGTGCGTTTACAGTATGTGTGTGCATGGGAAGAAAGAAAAAAAAAAAAAAAAAGAACCCATTGCCACAAACCTCATTGAACTGCTCTTCGTTTTGCCTTCCCAGGGCGGAAGGAAAAATATCCTGGCCTGGACGACTGCCACTTATCAGTAAACTGTCGAAGCTACAAGGCAGCGGATGTCTCCCGGAGTGTGGAGCATTAAACAGCGCCCCACTTCATCTCTTTCTACCTGTGTCGTACACTCACGACACTTAACATCTTGCGACTCCAGCTGACAAATACTCAGTCGTTGTGAAAGTAAATATCTGAGAGGGTCAAGCTGTCTCACAGGCACTAAACTTGTGGCACGGGGTGGCTCTCTGGGGGGGAGGGAGGGCGGCTGGCTCATGCATGTGGTTTTAATTGTGTTTTCAGTGGGGTGATGAAATGTCCTCCATTTGAGCACAAGCTGGCAGTAAGTGGGCTGTCGCCTCCAGGGACAGGGTGAGCAATAGCCCGCTGCTATCGTAGGTGATTGTGCTTTGGCCCCCTAGGGGTGACAGAGATGAACGAAAGGGAGTCAGGAAGACAATGCAGACAGAAGCAGCCCGTTTTATTTTAGTCTCACATGGTTTCAAAAATGGATATCAGGGCAAAGAAAAGTGGCAAGTAAGCATGTGAATCTGGGGAGGCGAAGTGTATTTACAAGCTCTCCATCCGAGCTTTGTAATGGGATGCATTTTATATTAAAAGGCGTAGTGAGGCGTAAATCAATTTCTAACCGTTTAAAAAAATACTCTCTCTACTGTATCAATGAAAAAATATTGTTTAAGGAATTTATACTCCTAGTTTCCTAACAACCACAGCCATTAGTGTACTTTATTCCAATTTGCCGTAAGACACCAATATACAAAGTCGTATATATATTTTTGCTGTTAAAAATATAAAAAGCCTTTTGCGTATTTGTATTCAGCCCCTATTGCTCTAACACCTCTAAAAACAATCCATAGCAGCCAACTGCCTTAACCCTTGTGTTTAGGAATGGGGTCCAACCGACCCCACACACGTAAAACTTGTATCGTTTGCCACAGTCCTCTACGTTTGCCTCAGTCCTCGCATGCAGCCAGAGCTACTGTGGTTTAGATCAAATAATGGCCCAGTCAAAGTTCAGGCCTAAATCTAAAGGGGAATGTGTGGCAAATTTCTAAAATTGATGTTCATAGATACTTACCATCCAACCAGTCAGATCTTGAGCTAATTTACAAAGATAAAGGCAAACAATTATATTCTAGATCACAGGTGTCAAACTCCAGTCCTGGAGGGCCACTGCCCTGCAACTTTTAGATGTTTCTCTGCTGCACCACACCTGGATAGAATAATTAGGTCATTAGCAGGCCTCTACACAAGAATGAGGTAATTAAGCCATCTCATTCTAGTGTTTTGTACCTGTGGCACCTCTAAAAGCTGCAGGACAGTGGCTCTGGAGGACTGGAGTTTGGCACCCCTGATGCACAAAGCTGGTAGAACCATATCCTGAAATACTGGCAGCAAAGGTTAGTTCCCCAAAGTACTGACACAACTGATCTGATCCATATGCAGGACACACATTTAGATTTTTGTCTTTGTCTTTAACAAGTAACTATGGGTCTATGACTTAAAATCCTAATAATATGCATTTCAGGTTGTGGATGTAGCATGATGCATGCACTAATATATATCATTTTGACTTCACACAGTTTTCATGCTTTCATCTCCTTGAATGGCTTTTTGCTCCATGTCACTCCTTCACAAAGGAGATGAACAGATGTGATGAGGATCATTGACATTTCGCAACCGAGTAAAATAAGACAGTTACTTAACAAATTTCACAAGTTGTTTGCAGGATCTTCTCTCCCCTTGTGCTGTTATGATAACCAGTAACAAGACGCAAACGATTAAATGCTCCTCCCAGAGCGCTCGTCACATCTTCCGCTTGCTGAATTTACATGGCATTTATGAACACTCACAAGGAAAACAAAAAGTGGACAAGGAGAGAGAAGGGGAAGGGAGCTCGCCAATGGAGGAGTCTCATTATTCTGTTATGGATTGCACATGTCAGCGAGTAAGTGCTCTTTTTATCCCTCCAAAGCACCAGCCACAGCCACCGAGCACATTTCCCTACCCAAGTGAAATTTAGCATGTTAAGGCTCGTGCCACCAGGGGAACAGTGGTGAGAGCACTGGGCTGCTTCTAAGATTTGCTGCCTTGATTAAATAAGGGACTGTAAGTGTGAATAAGAGGCCAAGGGAGAAATCTCTGCAACATACACATGTGCTTTTTGCACATGATAGTCCTGCACAACCCCCGCTACTGCCCACCCAACTTTGCCTAAATACAAGCACTGAAACACATTTACACACACAAGCAGTTTACATGGTGTCCTACATGTCACACTGGATTTTAATCAAAGAGCAGAAAGGGGGCAGTGGAGGCTCACTTGTAACTCTATAATGGCTCTGCCAAACTCAGCAAGACCTATCTTTTTAAAAGGGCTCGCACCCATTAATGCCTGCAGAACTTGAAAAGTTCACACAAAAAATATTGCAGTTTTCCCTCCTTTTGGACAGAACAAGTCTTTTATTTGATGCACTGTGATTCAAAAAGTCTAGCACCCTCTACAGATTGCCTAATTCCATCTCATTTCCTTTGAGGTTCCCTCAATACACCTTTCTTAATGCTTTGAAAAGGTGCTTTGACTCAGGCAGCTGCCAGCAATTTTCAGTCAAATGCTTGTAACTGGGCAAAGGGGACAAGTTATGTTTCCGCCCTGGGGCCACAGATAAAAAAAAGTGAAAAAGTCAGTCACTTTTACAACCTTCTGACCAGGAATGACTTTTTTTTTAATCTAATGTATGAACTGACCAGAGACACCTGCAGACAGTGACATTTTGCTACAAGCTCACTGCGAGTAAGTGACTGCAGGTCAGCTGATTGATGTGTCTGATGGGTATCTAGCCACCCTACTGGACTTTGTGGACACCAGCTGTCCCCATTGAAATTCATGAGGAGTTGCCCAATTATAAAAATCCACCCCCAATGCCTCCAGAGTCAATGTAACTGGGTGGAGCTACATTTAAATCACCAACTACAGCCAGCAATAAAGGAAAAAAGGTGAACACTAACAAAGAAAATTTGATAAATGGTGCTTTCAATGTTCAAATAAATGTATACTTTTCTAAGTTTCCTTCAAAGAGCTATTTAATCAGTTTGTTCTACAGTTATTCCACTTAAAATAGTTGTGAACTTTTAATGTGAAGAAAAACAAATACTTCAACGCTAAAGCTAATGAGATAAATTGAATGCTAAATGTCTAATCTCTTTTTTTCACTGTTGCAGTTTATATTTGAAAAAAAAAATTGCTGCAAAGACTATTTCAACAAAGCAAGTAAAAAATGCTTACTCTTGTCTAAAAAGGAGCTAAGATAAAAAATAAAAAAAATTACTAAATCCTTGCTAAAGTTCAACCTGCACCTGTGCTTCTCCAGCAAGATGGAGTCTCTAATGATAGTGTTCCCTTTGTTTTTGGGTCTGCGCATGATGGTAATTTCTCTGGTGCTGGATCGGCTGCACGGGATGCAGGGATTTCTCAGATGATCGCAAACAGTGTCAATTGGAATATATTTAAATATTTTTAAAATATTTTTTAAAAATATTCAGTCCTCACATTAAACAAACATGGGGATCAATTTCTGTAGGGGTATTTTTTTTTAGATCAAATTATACCATAATCCTGAAAATTAAAGAGCAATAAATTCATTCATGACTTTCAACGAGAGTCATGAATGAATATTTCAACAAAAAAAATGTATCGCATAACTGACTTTTCTGGAAGTTAGATGAATAATTGTATTGTTTAAACATAACTTTGCGCTACATCTTGTCATTGTGTTATTCGGTGATGAGTAGACAAGTTGAAGCCATGAGTAGATGGTGGTAAATGAAGTTAATTTAATTAACTTAATAAAACAAGAACTTGCACAACAACAAGGTCGACCTAATGAGCAGCAACAAACTGCAAGTAACAGATAATAACGGGAATAACCAACAAGGAGTGAGCGAAAGAGAGGAGATTAAATACCGAGAGGGAATGTTGAAACAATAGACTGGGGCTGATTGGCTAACAGGTTGCAGGTGTGAGGGGAGAGAACACGTGGCACACTGAGAAGAGAGAGAGAAAGGTAAGGGAACGTAATCAAATGTGGGAACTAGAAAAACGAATTTAACAAAAAAAATGATTACAACACAAGGAATGAATCATAAACGTATATCTAACTAAACGAAGAGCAGACCGAACTAAGTAAAACAAAACACGGCTGATTAAATAAATAAATAAATAAATAAATAAATAAATAAATAATGGATTGAAGAACTAATAAAAATCTACTACAAAACCAGAAAACGCTAAAACAACCCAAGATCCTGACACATTCACACGCAGCCTGGAGCTACAACCTTCGCGCGTCGTGGCATCGTTTCTCTGTACTTGGTCTTCTATTCGCACAATCAGTTAAGCCCAGATTTATCAAAGATAACACAATGAAAAACTCATACACCCATTTCTATGCGAACATATTTGTGTTTGGGCGTTCGACTCGATTAACATGCTTTTGAACGGACCGAGTGGTCAGATACACGAAAGAAAATCAAAAGGCGAAGTTTATGAGGCGACATTGAACGCAACACAAGGGTTCTGGGCTTTTTTTCTTCTCCCCTTTGACTCAAAGTGGGGGGAGAGAAGCGAGAGGGGGTAGTTGACTCCTGTCTCCCCACCCCCAGCTCGTATGAGGTGGCTTTGGGAAGAAAGGGAATCCAAACCTGTGTCGCAGAGATAACGTGAGACTTCAATAAAAGAGATCCACATTTGGAGACCCGTGCGCGGTAGAGTCGCGCACGGATTATTATAGAGTTTTTTTTTCTTTTTTTTTTTTTTTCCAAAATATTTATTTTATTTTTGCCTTTACCAGAGGAAGGTTCTGCTTTGGAGTGTCTGATCTCCGTGAAAGGGATACAACGAAAAGCGCACGGAGGATAATAGCGGAGTATTTTAAACCTGCGCTCTCCGTTAACAAGTGACTCGCTGACTTTGGAGAGAGTGGAATATAGCGGGGTTTTTTTTTGTTGTTGTTTTTTTTCTGCAATCGGGGGATGTTCTTGTGGGAAGATTCAGCTGCACAGAAAAATGGATTTGAAAACTGTTCCCCCTAAACCAGCGAGGGGGTAGATTTAAAAAATAAAAAAATATTTTTTTCCCCCCTCTCGGGCTGAGACTGAGTAAGTGATTGAAACTTTTCTTCTTTTTTATTGTTCTTAGTTTTGAGGACCTATTTAAACGATAGGGAAAGAATTACAGAAGACAGAAAAAGTACAGAGTTTGTTTGGAATATTTTTAAACTGTAATTGAATAAGAGAACTTGTTCGCCACAGTAGTCTCCGGGGAAACCAAGAAAGGACTGCTTTTTTCCTCCCATGTGAAAATTTGTAGAAAACCTTTTCATTTTACAATCTTCTGATTTATACTGCTTTGCCTTTATAGATAAACTATTACCAAGGGTCCAGACGCTTAAAAACATAGTTAAAGACACAAACCGAACCCTACTAAATCCTAGCAAAACGACCATCTGACAACGCGAACATGCAGTTAATTCACTTAAAGTTGGACATTCACACGATTAAACCTACTGAGAAAAACTAAAACGTAATATTTGAAGTAAATTTCGAAGAAATGACTTATTTTGTACTATAAGATCAGGAAAAGAATTCTTGGATGGCTTTATCTGTTTAACTGGAAAGGATGTTATGCATTTATTTGCAGCATGTTTACTACACGTAAGCTAACCGAATTTTGTTGCGTTTACAACGTCAGTTGTTTTTGTCCTTTTGCATCTATGCTCCTAATTTTGTGTATTATTTTTTTTAAACACTTCTGTTTTCTAGAGGGTAATCCTCTGCCCTGAGGTGTGACTCTTCTGCATTTGTTTATGGGAGTTTAAATGTAGCTCTAGGCGATTTAGTTCTGCTTCTTTTCTTCTTCATTTTTATGGTAGTAAGCTAAGCAAATTGCAGTAATCTTTTTTTTTTTTTTAGTAGAACCATTAGCAATACCCCTTCCTGAGGGTAAATATGCAGGTACTACCACTGAGAGCAGTGGCACCAGTAAGGGGGGTAAAGGTTGGGAAATTGGCCACCCCTGTTTTCCAAGACCAAGATAGGCTTGGATGTCTGACACTTTTGGATGTCCATCACTTATTTCTGGTGTCTGCCCTCCTACACCGCTAACATGGCAACGGTGAAGGGTTGGTATGCCACCCCTTTGAAAACCTTCTGTGCAGTGCTCACTACAAACAGTTTTGCTGCTCTTTTGTAAACACCACATACTCTGACACATTTGGTGCATTTCCTGTTCTTATGCAAGTTCAGGTTTGTCTCTTATTTTTCTAACTCCCACTCATCCGTCGCACATTGGGGAATACAATCAGTCCTGCTACCTTGCATAAATAAACCCATTTGTCTTGTGATGCGAGTCACATGTTGATTGTCAGCAGTGGAGAGGAGTCTTGTCCTTCAGAGTAATTGGACAACACCTAAACCGAGAGGCTGCGCGTCAAATATGCTCTGGACTCTTAATGTGGCTTTAATTGAACAATTTATCACCCCTGATCACTGTCAAATAACCTGGAAAGATGGACATAAGGCATTGGGAATGCCATGGATAGGTTTCAGTCAAGCATGACCAACATGTCTGTTGAAGCACTGTCACGGAGGGTGTATGTTTGTTGAGCTAATGGTGTGTTTATTTTTGTTTGTCTGCAGAAATCACTAATTGAAGTACATCTGAGTGGTAATGAATGGTGAAAGAGAACGGGAGAGCAGATCAGAAACTGAGTTCATTAGACTAAAAGTTGGACTGTTTTCCATTGAAATTTTTTCATTACACTTAATAGAAACCTAGGTGAGATTTCTATTTCCATTTTTAAATTATCTGCTCATTTTATTTTTTATTTTTTTACATGTGATGATATTCTTGAATTAACAATGTTTGATTTTACTACACAATAACAATAAATTCTCCTAAAAAAGGACATAATTTATATGCTTTCTTCATTCATAAATTCTCTAATCCTGTATTTTAATTTCTAGATTAAAGACTTGGCGGTATCAAATTATTAATATAATTTTTCGTTATGGCTTTTTGCGTTTGATTTTACAACCTTGTCCTGTGTTTATTTTACTCTCTGGCAAATTAACAGCATTTTGGTGGCATCAAGTGCCTTGCAATTAGTCACATTGTACTTGACACAACAGCAGAGTTAATAATAGCCATGCTGAAGTGACTGTCATAGCAAAGGGAAAGAGAGAAATGTGCACCATGAAAAGGTGTTTTTGCACTCACTGCTAATTGTGTTTATTCATTTTAATTTGCTCCAAGTGCTAAATCAGTCCTCTTCTGGCGAAACGGGGTGCAATTAGTTTGGGCTGTGAAAACACTGGGCAGCGTGTCTGTCTTGTAAAGAAGTTCGCTCTTCTCTTCTTTGACTTGTGGATTAGCTGTTCCTTGACATTCACATTTCTTTCACTGCCACATAACAAGAGCCGGAAAACACTGAATGGGAGCAGAGCTCCACCGTTGTAGAGCAAGTGAGTTGGGGTGTGCACAATGGAAAGATTATGTTAATTTCAGCATTCTGCAAATATAATAAATATATCGGAGCATTGCCTGCAGCAGGTGTAATGCATCCTTTGAGGAGTGCCTTGTTGTGAAATGCGCCAGATTACAGGGTTCTTATGCAGTCTGAAAAAGTATGAAATTTGGTGTACTTGTTTTCCAGGACGAGTATGAAATTATATATAAAAAAATGTTTTCATAGACTTTATCCCTACTGTCTAAAAGATCCATCCATCCATCCATCCATCCATCCATCCATCCATCCATCCATCCATCCATCCATCCATCCATCCATCCATCCATTGAGCAATTCGCAATGGATTTTTGCATCTGTGATTTTCTTTTTTTTCTTTTTTTTGGAATAGAATAAAAAAAAATCTACCTTGTCTTTGCTGCCTATTGTAAAAATGACAATGTAGGGTTTACTAAGTCCACTATAAAAACTTGAATTGCTTGAAACAGTGGAAAATGTGGTTTGCCTGTGGTCTCTGATTTGATGTGTCAGAAATCCTCCATGCATTTCCACAATTTGATGGTCTGCTGATGGCTGTCATCTCATAAGTACTTCTCAAACCACACTTCAAAAAACAGCAGCAAAAATAAAAAGCTTTCTGCTTAAGCCTATTAGACATGCTTTGGTAAATTACTGGTTATTACTTAATATTTGGTACTTTACTCCCTCTCCAAACTCCTAATGTAACTCGATCCATTCTTCCACAGAGATGAGGTACTTTAACATTTACTTAAAATACTTAAAATTATATAAAGTAGCCCATTCTATAGGCACTTTCTGACATTTTTGATAAAACTGTCAGATTGTCTGTACCCAATACTAGATTTAGGTGCTCATAGAATAACATTTAGATTTTCCTCTATTAATGCTGTCATAACACTAAAATTTCTAATTTGATTCTGATACTAGCAAAAATACTCAGTACTCAATACCATTTTCAGTAAAGCGGTGTTGTACTGGTAGCTCTGGCATCCTACAAAATTCTTTTTCCTTTTTTTTTTTTTTTCCCTTTCCAGTTACCTCAAAGGGAACAGTGCTTTTGGGTTTACTTTGTTGACCGAAGAGGGTCACATATGTTTTTTATTTTTCTGGCTGTATTTGCCATGTTAGCAGAGTTTAAACTGTACAGGAATGGCTCATTGGGGAGGAGAGAGGCTGACTGTCTGTTGTTGCAGCACAGCTGTCAGAGGAAATATGTCAATTTGGCCATATGTGAATTGGAGAGTTTTTTTTTTTTTTTCTATTTTGACAAAACTGAGTAGCTTTGAAAATGTATTTTCTATAAGGAGATATTTTATATCTTGACAACCCCACACTGTATGCATAGATCAAAAATATTAATAAAAGTGGAGCTGGCTATTTGTGTGGCAGGCCATTTCAGTACAGCTCATGCAGATGGACCTGTTGGTTGTCTTGGCTTAAAACTTGACTGAGCTCTGCTCTCCTTAACTTAACCCTGTTCTTCAAGCCTCACTCTAGCCAGTCAGGGTCTGGTTTGGTTTTAGCCAAGTTGGATGTGTCTCCATTGCATTGTGTTCCTCTCTATTGTGGGTGTAAATATTGGCCATGAGTCCTCGAGAGCTGTGGTCGACGCTCCGATGATGTCGTTTGTAGTGACACTTGGGACTACATAGTGTCTTGCATGAGATAATGTAGTGCATTTTAGTCTAGATGAACAAAGCAAGGGGAAGGGGAGGAACAGCTAAGGACTTGCACAATGAGGATTCAATCACTTGCTCCTCCAGCCAAGTGATGGTTGAAATTCATGCATGTGAAATTTTGAGCTCATACTGATAGACGTGCACATGCAGACTTGCAACGCAACCAAAGAAAATTGGTACCTGCTTTTGTACCTGTTGCTGCCATCGCTATGGCGTCCCGTGTGTTGGGTTGTAATCAAAGTGGTTAAAACCTTTGCCTGTCAGTGTCATTTGTCCATCCCTGTGCATATGGAGCCCATCAGAGTTAGAAGTTAGCAGTCCTAAGTAGAAGACAAGTGTCTTTTGAACACAAGCTTCGAAGCATAGCTTAGAATGTTGTGATTGCAGTTGAAATACCTGGACTGGACTGTATAGTGTCTTCTCATAGGCTCCTCTTTTCATCATGATCACTAAAATGTGTACATTCCTTCAGTTATTAATCAGTTTACAAAACCTCATAAGACACGCAAGACATATATTGAGCTTAATTAACAGAAACAGTTACTTATTTTTCGACAACATATGTGGCTTGTACTTTATGATCTGCTGTGTCCTTCATCCATTTAGACTTCAGTATTATACTTGCACTTGTGCAAGCCTTGATAAACCAAATGAAAAGGGATTATTGATCAGAGAACATGCATTCGCATATTGTGTACGGAGGTAAAGGTGTCTTCCACATCTACAATATACACTAATCCCTACCAGATAGTGTGGTAAATCTTTTGGGAATACATTCACACACCGTCACCCTCCGCAATCTCCACCTCCTCCTGCCTGACTCCCTTGGTACCTCCACATTTTAGAAAAAGGATATGCTTCAGCTCCTTCTGATGAAGTGACAGTAATCTTCCTTTGCAGATGCACGGGGGGGAAGACCTTGTTCATTCATCTC